AAAAAAGAAAGAAATCTAAAAACTCAGTTACTTAAAGAACTACCCCTAATAAGCAACTGTAAAAGTTCAGCTTCCAGAGTCAGGCTGTATGCACCACAGTGGCAGAGCGCTTGCCTAGCATATGTGAAGCACTGGGTTCGATCCTTAGTACCACATAAAAAAAACAAATATAATAAAGGCATGCTGTCCATCTACAACTACAAAAAAATTAAAAAGTTCAGCTCCTATCAGTGACTCAATTTTTAAAATCTATTGTAGGGGCTGGGGCTGTAGCTTAGTGGTGGTRCACTTGCCTAGCTGAGTCTGATTACCAGGAAGGGAAGGGGGGAACAACAAAAACCATTTCAATGGAATTTACCATCACTTATCTGTGAAAACTCCAACATCTAACTTCAGATACTCCTGCAAAAATAAGGATCTTGATTTTTTCTTTTCACTGGGCAAATGGATGTTGAAAAGAAAAACGAGGGAAATAGTTGTTGTATATATGAGAGAATTCTCCAACCATTAGTTCAAGAATTATTAAAAATTAAAAAACATATTCTTTGAAGGTAATCTAAACCGGATTAGAATCCTYCTTTTTGCATTAACTCATCACTTAAACTACAGACCTATTCAAATTTCTATGAGAGAGGATTAAACTCTGGTTTTTCATTTTTGTAAAGCATTTAACCCAGTGCCTAACATATCATTAAGAGCAGCCTGCAAGGGATAAGAAAAAAATGTTGACACAGAAGGCCCAAATACTCCAGAGAGTTGGGTAAGGCCTAGTTAGTTTGGCCTAAAAGGCCTAAATTAGCAATCATTTGGGAAACCAGCAGGCTAAGCTGCACATCTTGTTTATTTGGCAAGTCTTCCATATTTCAGTCTTTTCATCCACAAAACCGGGATGGATGAAAAACGTCTTATGAATTCTACCCTTCTTGCGTCCAAGGCTTGTAGGAAAAGCACACGGGGACCCATCCGATCCGAGAAGACCCTGGGTCATAGGGTCAGGTGCCGGTCCCTCGCCCTGACGGCCCTCGGCACTGGACCACGTGACTTGGTTCAAGTGGCCCCGGGATGCCGCAGGTCCACGCCCTACACCGCACACGCYGGCTTCGCCCGGAGCAGGCGGCAGCAACGGCGCCCACAGAGGKCACAGGATCTTCCCGCTGGAGGGATGGCCAGGGGTGGCCCAGGGGCCCTCGGCCCCAACGGGTCGGCTGGGGTCCCGCGTGGGCGCCTGCGCTCGGGGACGCGCCCGCGCCTCTTCTCGGAAAGGCACCGGCAACGCGCGAGGACGCGCGGGACCCCCTGCCTCCGGGCGCTCCTGGGCCCGCAGCAGGGCCCGGYGCCTCACCCCGGCCTCTCCAGCGCCAGCGGAAGAGCAGGAAGCCGGAGCTTCGGCGGGACGCGCGGGAAGCGGGCTGGTAACGGGCCTCGGGCGCCCTCGGCCGCGCAGGGCCCGCGCGGAAGGCCGTGCACGCACATAACGGGGCGCCGGGTCCTCACCCAAGATCTCCTGGCGCCGGTCAGCGTGGGGCTGGTCGGTGTAGACCCACTCGAAGTCTTCCCGGGACACGCGGCTCCCCATGGCGGCGGCGGCGGCGGCTCACGGGCCGGGTCTCGGCTCTCGCTCCCCGCCGGGATCTGTCGAAGCGACTGCGCTGGCGGCAGCTCCTAGGCTTGTGTCTGAGGCGGGCAGGCGCAGCGTCCGAGACGCGGCCAGGGGCGGAGCCCCAAGACCCCGCCCCGGCCCGCCCCCGGCCTCCCGGCGAGAGGCTGCCTCCGGGCGCCGCACTCCGAGGCCCCAAGCAAGGAACCGGGATTCCACGGTTCTTGGCCGCCGGCTTCTGAGGTTCTGGGACTCGCGGAGCACTTCGAATCCCTGCAGGTGCCCACGTCCGCACTCAGGAAAAGGTGAAAAAGGAAGAATAAAGCTCCAGTTAGACGAGGCTGCTGCCTTAGCGCCGGTGGGGGTGGGGGTGGGGTGGGTAAGTACCCCAAGGTGCTGCAGCTCCACCGTGACCTGAGGCCCTTTGGCGTTAATAATTGGCTGCTGGGACAAGTTTTGTTTGATATTTAATAGCAAATTGTCCATTGAGGTGTTTTTTTTTTTTTTCGTTGCGTTCTGGAAATGATACGTCGAGGGAAATGTGAAGTGTGTGGCAATTAGAAATTGATCGAGTAGAAAGTTCAATTTTTGAGGGGGGAAAAGGGTATGGAATTTGTCATTCTAATGTTATTTCTATTACAAAGTAATTGCTCAACCTTGCACCTGTGTATCGCTGAAGTCATCAACCACAACCTCTTCCTGAAAGACAGGACATTCTGTTTCAAAATTAGTTACYACTTCTCCATCAAAAAAGAAACTTTGGGGGCTTTTCGCATTAGCACAGCGAAAAGCCCTGTGTTCAAACCTTCAAGCCCCAGCACTTTAAAAAAAAAAAAGAAAAAGAAAAGAAAACAAGGAAAAAATATTGTACCAAGATTACAAAGATAACCAGACGTGGTGTGCCTCCTAATTAAAGAACACACTGTGAACACATAACACACGTACAAACCACACTCATGCCCCACCCATACACATACCACAGCATATACAATCCAAATCTGATCAAGTCCCTAAATTGGACTGTTAATGTATAGAAACTGGAAAGAACAGATGAACATGTTAAACCACACCACAGGAATCCAAATCAGCAAGATCTGACTGGGGAACCCTATAGCAAGACTCCTTGGTTTTTTAATAAATAAAAGAAAGGAAACCTACAAATTAACTGGGACTTAAAAGATGAATCAATCCATTGCAATATGTTAACCTCATTTAGATTCTGACTCAAAGAGTCATTTTTAAAAGTTTGATATGCAAACATTAAATATCAATTGGTTAGGTGAATTAAGAAATTATTAACTTTTAAGTGTGATGATAGCATTATGGTTATTGCATCTTTAAAGAGCTTTTATTGCTTACAGATTCATCCCAGAAAAGAAAAACTAAACTACAACTGAATTATGGTACATGTAATTAACCATACAATGTAACACAAGACATGACTATATACCATTTCTTTATATATTTATATGAATTGAGCTACAAAATATACTGTTAAATTGCAAAACAGCAGGTATGAAGGGAGGGGTGTGTATATATAATACATGTTTCCTTGGATATGCATAAAATATTTATCAGGACAAACAAGAAATGATTACTTTGTGGTAGMGTAAGTAAGTAGGGGAGAGAGTGTGGAAGGGATTTTTTTTCCTCACTGAATCCTTTGTCACATTTGAAGTGAAAAAATAATGTGGATTTTTGACATTCGTAGAAAAAGGAGAGATTTTGAGCTACAGAATTGTTGTAGGGATTGACAGTTACTTAACATCTAGGCATGCTTTAGTTTGCATTTTTAAAATTTCTTAATGCATAAGCACAATCAAAAAGGTAACTGAGTACAAATACAATGCTTTGGAGTTTTAAGATTTTTAATACATTATCTGGCTCTCACATCTTTTCCTTACTTTTGTCAAGTAATTTTCAGTGAGGCAATCATACCAGTTATTCTGGAAAGAACTGTCCAGTCTACTTTTCAAAGCTGTGGTAAATCTGAATAGTCTCAGATGACATTAGGAAATTTCAGATGAGAGCAACACACTTTTGAAATTGACACATTTTTCTACACAGTTGTTTTCTTTTCCATTTGCTTAATCTTTGAATAGGCAAATAATCTTTATGACCATTTCAATAATGATTTAATTGAGATCTAGTAATGATGTTGAAAGGTAGTTGCCRCAGGAAGCTTTGTCAAATTTATAGAAGAGAAATTTCCACCATGCGACCAGCACACTGGTTTCATTAATGAGGTTCTTGGCATAAAAGTTACTAGCGAGATCGAAATAAAACACACAGACTCAGTTACCTTTTTCTATGACCAGGTCCGAGACGGCTCCCCCCTCTGGCTCCCACCTCCAACCACCCAGTAGGGCAGCAAGAATTACTGAGGGCTAGCAGGAGAGAGAGAGGGGGAGCACACCAGGGAGTAGCCTTTTATTGGGGAACAAGAAATTCAGGGGAGAATTCCATCCAATGAAGATTGAGGGGGGCCCCCCCTCCCCCGCACTCCAAGGTCAGAGTCAGTGATTGGCCCCCGGGGTCAGTGGTCAGTCACACCCCCACACAGACAGGCTCTCGCACCAGGAGAGGGCCAGGAAAGCTCCGACACAGGTTAGCCAGAGCGCCTCAGACCCAAATCAGGAGTTGCCCAGTCACGTGTGAGAATGGCTCTCCACAGAAATTAAACATCCTTTRTTCACTATGAACAAACCTGAACCACAATAATAATATATCATCTTTTTCTGGACATCAAGTAACCCAGTCAGCAGTTAGTTGCCAACTTATATCTTTTCTTACATATTTTAAAATGTATTATTGGATTATAAAATTAGCACATTTGATTTTGCAATTAAAACAYTCACAGATTTGTTTTTAACTAAAGTGGAGTTAGTGTAATAGGAAATATACTCCACCTTGCCTGTCTGTTCTCTGCCCTGCTGGTCTCACTCTGTGTAGCAGGGGACATTTTGTACTCCCACTTACTGCTGGCATCTTTAGTCCCATGTGGTCTTTACTCTCAGAGTCTAATCTGGGCCTGTCTCCTCAAGGTCCCTGTCCTTCCAGTACACGGCCTTCTCAGGACTCTGGGCCTCCCTTCTTTGGAGGGATACTCACYCTCAGCTGAGTTCCTTATCCATGAGGGGTTCTGCAGGATTCTGTGGGATTGTCCTCAGGCTTATCAGTTAGACATTTCCCGTATTGATTGTTAATGTACTGCTTAAATGCACTGCAAACAGGGCTACCCTTTGAGACTTTAAGCTCTCTGGTTATACCAAGAGAGCCAGGCAGGCAACCATACCTTTTGCCTGCCTGTGTCTCAACTTACCAGGAATGCAGTATTGGTAGAAGCACAGGTGGCAGGAGGAAATTGTGTGGTGGTCTCAAAAGAAGCAGGAAAAAGGTTTGATAAAATTTAATGTCTATTGGCAACAACTGTGTAGAAGATCCAGTAGAACTGAAGTTTTGGAATAAAATGAGAGAATTTCACAAGGTTGTTAGCTGGAAAATTAATGTACAAAAAATTTGTAATTTAATATACCATCAACAACCAGTTCAAAGATTTAATTAGAAAGAAGGCACTTATAATAACATAAAAATGTACCTAGAAACAAATCTAAGATATATGAGACCTTCAAGATCAAATTATATATATAAATATGTTTATACACACACACACACACACACACACACACACACACACACATCAGGGCAGATATGGAAGAATGAAAGGATCAAGAACCCCTAAGACAAATCTAGGACAAAACAAGGTAAGGGGGTTTACCCTGCCAAATACTAAGGTTTGTGTAGAGCTTTAATTTATAATATAGACAGTGTCTTAGTCTGTTCAGGCTCTTCTAATACATTGCCATAGACTGGGGGTGGCTGATAGACAACAGAAATGTGTTCTTACAGTTCTGGAAAACAACTAGTGTGTGATGAAGGCACTGGCAGTTTCTGTGTCTGGTAAGACTCTTCCTGGCATCTTCTTACTGTGTCCTGAGGTGGAATGCAGGAGACATCTCTGTATAGTCTCTTTCATAAGGGCACTAATCCTATGTGCCAGGGTCCAGCCCCGTCGGGGGATCCAGGGGTCCTGAAGGAGTAGTGGCATTGGTGAAAGAAGAATATATTTTTATATCTTTTTTACATGTTTTTTTTTAGGTTGTTAATGAAGAGCTTCAAAGCCCTAAACTTATTTGATTTACATAATTTTCAAGAGTTACAATCTTTTCTGACATACATTGATAATGAGTACATTGTTCAAAATATTTTTCTTTTTTAAAAAAYATTTATTTTTTAGTTTTTGGTGGACACAGTATCTTTATTTTACATTTATGTGGTGCTAAGCATAGAACCCAGTGCCCCGTGCATGCTAGGCAAGCACTCCACCACTGAGCCACAACCCCAGCCCCTCAAAATATTTTTCTATAATCTTAGCCAATCATGATTAAGCTTTTACGTTTTTACCTCAATCACTAGGTATTAGTCTAGGCAACAAGACTACATGTCTCCTGACCTGTTATTCACTTTAAGCATACTTTATTTCATTAACCTTTAACTTTAAAACATACTTATGATTATTGGTAAACTTTCTTACTTCTAAACTAAAATCCCWGTAAAACACACTTAAAATAGTGAAAGTCTATTACTTTAAAAGCCTACTATTCTGAAGTGCCTCTAAAATATATCTATGTTAATTTTACATTATTTTATTTGTAATTTCCAAGGTAATTTCCTTTTTTCATATGACCTATTTTACTGCTTTCTTACTGAGTTTTCTTGATCCTTGGTCAAAGCACACCAATTCTTATGTCTTTGTAATATTTAACTAAAAGGCAGGCTTTGCACCTCAACCCATTTGTCATTTATATTAACTGTGTGTTTCCCATTTTCATCATAAATTCCTGTGTAAAGCAAAGGGGGGAGTGTATGTTGCAGAGGTTGTGGCTTTAGAATTGGGGGCTTAATGTAAATTGTTAAGCTTTCCTCAGGAACCTCGATTTGCAATCTTTTTCCCGTAAATTTCTTGAGGAATAACACTATTGATTGTATCCTGAGAGATATTGAAACACACCTTGTGGCATGTCTTA